CTTTTTTTCTTTCCTTCTTTCCTTCCTCCTTCCTTCCTTCCTTCCTCCCTCTCTCCCTCTCTCCCTTCCTTCCTTCCTTCCTTCCTTCCTTCCTTCCTTCCTTCCTTCCTTCCTTCAGAGCCAAAAGGAAAATATGAAGCCATATGTGGACATAGATTAAAAAAAAGGATGGTTTTACAAGGGTGGAAGTTACATAGAATGTATTTTTTATTTAATTATCAAATTTAGAAATATATGATACATGGGCAATATGTATGTATGTATGTATGTATGTATGTATGTATGTATGTATGTATGTATGTATGTATGTATGTATGTATGTATGTATGTATTAATCCTGGCCAAGTGAAGGAGCTATGAGGGGTACTTTTACATGGCTAGATACAACTGCTGAATTCCTGGAAAATTTCATAACAAATTACGATAAATTGGCCACTGATTTTAAAACAAACAACACAAATCTGTTATTTTATGTAACTTCTTAGAATTTTGGACAATTCATTCAACAGATGTCAGATATTGGAAAGAAAGGGCCCCTTGACAGTTATGTTATAATTAAACTTTTACAGCTCTTTGTTCCTGCCCCTGAAGCTTTTTGTGCTAATCATTCAATTTGGTTTAAGTTTATCCAAATTGGAAAACTATTTCTTGTATAACCTTGCTTGCATCTCTTTTTCCTCTTTGTCTTGGAAAAAAAATTGATTGTTGATTTCTTGAGGCAAGTGTTTGTTCTTTGTAAAGAACAGCTTGCTTATTTAAACACAATACTGAATTTTGTTTTAATTATATAATAACAATTACAATAATAGTACATTTACTCTGGTGTTGAAGTGGCCAATCTCATTTTATCTATCAGTCTGTCTATCATCTCTCTCTCTCTCTCCCTCTTTATATCTATCTATCTATCTATCTATCTATCTATCTATCTATCTATCTATCTATCTATCTATCTATCTATCTATCTATCTATCTATCTATCTATCTATCTATCATCTATCTATCTTACCTCTATCCTCAATATCTATATCTGTCTGTCCGTCCGTCCGTCCGTCCGTCCGTCCGTCCGTCCGTCCGTCCGTCCGTCCGTCTATCTATCTATCTATCTATCTATCTATCTATCTATCTATCTATCTATCTATCTATCTATCTATCTATCTATCTATCTATCTATCTATCTATCTATCTATCTATCTACCTACCTACCTACCTACCTACCTACCTACCTACCTACCTATCTATCTATCTATCTATCTATCTATCTATCTATCTATCTATTATCTATTTATCTATCATATTTCTGAGTCACCCATCTCCCTCAAAGAGGCACTCATCCCAATACAGGTAGTCCCATGTTAGCTAGTCCCATCCCATGTTAGCTAGGAAATGAAATGTTCTATTCCTAATAGATTCGGAAGGCACCAGATTGGAGAAAGCTGCTGTGGTCAATAAGTTAGACCTACTACATCTGAGCTGCAAAAATTTATATGACCAATAATGTTAGAAAAGAGCTAATTTTTTTTCCCTAGAGGCAGGATGCTACCATCTAGCAGTGAAATGGGCAGAAAGTAACCTTGAACAGGAGGAAGAGCTGCCATCGAGGCAACAGTCAGATAAAAGAAACCTAAGCCTGGAGTAGACTTGTAATTTGAGAAAGTGTCTCAGATATAACGCTCCCCACTTCTCATGAAATAAAGAGATGGGAGTGGTGGGA